GGCTTGTTTTACAACGTCGTTGCCAAGCGACGAAAACCCAACCCCGATGGCAAACACCGGGGGGGGCGGATGGACTGAGGGGAGGATCAAAAAAAGAAAAATCGTCTAGTTGTGTGAATATTTGAGGATATACGCACGCAACTAACCAAGGATATACATGCAAGATGGGGGGGCACCGACCCCAGGTGGAAAAATGTATCACGCGTAGCCCCCAGAACATAAATTCAAATCAAGCAGACAAGAAGATGAGAAACAGAAGGAGCGATATTTCCCTCTCGCAAGAAACTCGATCATGACCAGGTCAGGTCACCCCGGGTGGGTGGTATAGCACAAGACGCAATGTTGGACAACAAGAGAAAGGAACGTGATCAACCGCCAAAATTGGACGAGAATAGAAATCGAGAAAAATCATCAACAATCGTTCGTGCCCGTTATGTGCAACATGTCCGGCCGGTCTTTGTCCAAGGGAGAAAAGACGCGTTTGTGCAAAATAAACCTTTCTGTTTGAAGCACGCCTTCACCTTCGTGGCGTCGACCGTTTCCTGGAAGCACGTGGCCAGAAGGACGTCAGTATACTGAGCGCTTCCCATCTTCTCGCGGAGCGGCTTCGCCAGATCTTCCGCAAGGACTTGAACCTTCCAAGCCGCGCAGGGACAGCACAACGACAATAATCTTTCAAGGAAAGCACAAACGATACTCACGCACCCACACACTACGCACGAAAAACTTCAGCAATGCGGAGGCGCACTTTTTTTTTTTTCAGGAGAAGAACAAATTACAGCGCAAAGACAAATAACACGAACATGCTTCAGCGCCACGGAGGTACATTCTTTTCAGGAGCGAAAAAAAAAATGATTGTTTCTCTTGCTCCGTGTGTTGCGACTACATTCGGACCTTAGCAAGATGTTCCTAGAGCCAGAGGGAAAGCCGTCAACCGAAGACAACAACAAACACCTACACCTCACCAGCAGCCCTGCAGTGGGCGCCCTCCCTAGCTTCTCCCTGTCCAAGAAGTACTCCATGGTTTCCTTCGCGTAACGGTCGAGGTACTTGGTCAGGGGGACCAGGAAGGGGTTGCTAGGCCGACTGTAGTTATCGTACCTGAAACCACCAGAAACAGAAGGAGGGAGACGGAGAGACGGGCACGGTAAGAGCCGGAGGAATGGAAAAGGAGATGAAGAAGAGGGAGGGAGGGAGGGGGAGAAGGAGAGAGAACTGGGTCTCGACCATTCTGGGACACAGCATAGGGCAAAGGGGGGGGCTCGGGGAGAGAAAGGTCGTTTCACCATACCACACCACGCCACACTTTCGCGACAAGCCAAGGGCCTGGTGGCTTGCCAAGCCAGCCAGCCGCCAAAAAATAACAATGACGAAGCACTGCTGGTGCGGGGTTGGACGTCGGAACAGTAGTGGCCTCTGGCGCGCACAACCTGCGTGCCCCCCTACCTAGCACCTGAGTCCTCCAGTTTTGGGGCGTGCTTCAAGTACTTGAATCCACATGCCCTCGAGCACCTGTAGCACCACGTCAACAGGCGGAAATCGCTGAAGACTACTGCACATGGGAGCCTCCCTCCTCCGCAACTTCTCGCACCTGTGCAGGACCGCTTCCAGTTGCAGCGTGAGCTTGACGAGCTGGTCCAAGAACTTCGGGGAGTGCGGCAGGAGGTGGAAGAGGCCCATGATGGCGGCCGCCACGTCGGGTTCCTCTCCGGGCTTCCATCCCTGAAGGAAAAGTGGCCAACAAGGGAGGGGGCAGGGGGGAAGGTAAAGAACGGACAGTATTGGAGGATATTGAGCCAGAGCACAGAGCAACAACAAACAACAACAACAACAACAACAACAACAACAACAACAACAACAACAAACGCCTCCACCACCTTCAACAACAAAAAAAATAGCACTCCCGACGATAGAAAAACAAAAACATCACTTCCGACGACACTACCAACAACAGCAGCAAATACATACCTTCGGGTCAGGCAAGCCCTGCAGCTTCTCCGGCTCGGTCCACTGCCGCAGGTATCCGAACAACTTGTCGCCCAGGGTCACGTTGAACCAGTTCGACAGCAGGTACAGCAGGCGGCTCAGCCCCTGCAGCAGCGGCAGGCTGAGTTTCTGGATGTGCGTCAGGTTCTTGAGCACCGGGCGGAGGCACGACTGCAGCAGGTCTTTCGGCATGCCGGACTTGTCCTTGAACTGCCGGTTCGTGAAGATTACTTGCACGAGCGCCGCCTGGGCCGCGTCTACCACCTGTTGGGTTTCGTAGAGATAAAACATGGGAGCAGTATTCCTTTCCGATTTCGCCGAGAATCGACCCCCCTAAAGACACGCGCCGATGACATGAGGTACGTCAACATCCCATCGAGGACTTATCCATTAGAGGTTCCAAACCCGTTTTCGGCTACGGAATGAAGTTACGAATACTTGAGCGGGAATGTCCCGAGGTCACCCAAAATCTCCGTGTCCCCGGTACGTACTAGGGTACATCTGCCGCACCCCGAGGCAAACCAAAAAAAGGTACAAAATCTGATTAAGTCGACCCAAGGGAGAAAGAAAATGCCTATACAAAGCGATGGTACGAGGAAACGTTGTCTCACAAAAGGTACGTCATACAAACAAAAAAAAGTATAAACACGAAAAAAACAAACCAAGGAATATAAATGCCTCAAGAAAGGCACATAACCACTTGGTACATACGCCCATCCTCTCTGTAAAAAAAGGCTAAGATAAGAAATAAGGTACAGCAGTACCTGATCGGCTCTGCTGGTGAGGCTCTTGAAGAACAGCGAGATGCACCGCGTGCGGGCGTCCTTGAGCACGTCCGTCTCCATGAACGCCTCCGGCTTAGTCATCATCACGATATGCATCAGCCGGATCGCAGACACACGCAGCTGGAGGGCGGTCGTGATGGCGGCAAAAAGAAAACGCAGAGAGATGAGACGAAAAAAAAAAAAGGCGAGCTGTGTTACATGCGTTTACGGTAGCTTCTCGCGTGGACACGAGCTAAACATGAAATAAAGCGTGAAAAACAAGCACACACGCTACATGTTTTTGCGGACAGTTTCTCAAATGGAGACACCACCTAAAGCACAAAAAACATCGAAACAAAAAAAAACAATTCGCAGGGAGATGGCCGAAGAAACTACGAAAACACATGGGTCATCGCAAGGATGACATCAGACGTTGATTAAGCGAGCGAGAACAGACGGCGGAAATGTTGCCAAATGGTCGGTGAGAGGCTGCGGCCAGGAGCTTGTAACGACGACACCGGAAATCGGGTCTTGCCGGTTGGATCAGGTAGATACGGCTAGGGGGGTTACACGTGAAGAACAGAGTACAGCAGCAGCAGCAGCAGCAGCAGCAGCAGCAGCAAACAACACACAACTGCGGCACAGAACGGCAACAGCAACATCAACAGCAAACAGCACACACCCAACACACCTGCACGAGAACAGAAACAGCAACGGCAGCGCCAACAGCAAAAAGCACACACCCAACACACCTGCACGAGAGCAGAAACAGCAACGGCAACATCAACAACAAACAGCACACCCCCCCCCCCNACCCAACACACCTGCACGAGAACAGAAACAGCAACGGCAGCGCCAACAGCAAAAAGCACACACCCAACACACCTGCACGAGAGCAGAAACAGCAACGGCAACATCAACAACAAACAGCACACCCACCCACCCACCCACACCTGCACGACGTGCGGCAGCTCCGAGGGAGACTGCATGTCCCGAACCCCCGTCTTCGACGGGAAACCCGTGTGCGTGGAACGCGAGCCGGGAAGGGAGTTGTACAGAGCCGGGATAGCGTTTCGCCCGGGGTCCAGGTCGTCAGTCTCCGTCATGGCCAGCACCTCCCCCAAGATCTGCATCACCTTGGAAGTTACCGTCAGCAGCTGCGGCTTGAGCATCAGGCCGTACGTCAGCGCCTCGAGCATGCCCACTTGCTGAGAAGCCTGAAGAACGGGCGCACGAAATAAAAAAGATCGAGAGTTTGCGAGGCGTCGCATCAGCCAAGGGTGTGCATAGCCGCGTAAATGTGGTGGAGATCGGGGTGAAAAGGGCATACCTCCTTCCAATCGACCCATTCCCCGGGGACACGAGATACCACAAAATCCGTCTTTACCATCATAAAAATGTGTACTCTTGACCTTACACATGTTCTCTGGCAACTCTCAACCCCCCCAGACCGCTTTCACCCAAAGCCGTTCAGGCCTGCTGCTGGCATTCTGCTTAGAGCAAAGCCTCCGAAGGTACCACCCCCGCCGTCCCAAAGCACCTGCACTTCATTCGCATCCGCCTGGCAGGCTTGTGGCGAAGGATTAGTCTAGACTTTCTTGCGACCGGCTAACGTGAGCAAGAACAAAACAAAATGCCGACAACGACAACAGGCCACAGTTGACAGATAACAGACAATAAGTACAGTAGGCGAAGCAACAAAACAACATACTACCACCATCACCATCGCCACAAAAACCACCACAAAAACCACACTTGCACCGCCCGGAGCTGCTTCGAAAAGATGTGCCCCTCCACGGCCTCCCGGCAGGGAGCCAGTATGTCCGTCGTCGAACACCCCTTGGCCGCCGCCATGAGCTCGATCGCCCTCTTCGCCGTCGACCGCACGGTGTGCCGGTAGTTGGACAGCTCCGTCGCCAGCAAGTGCACCACCGGGCTCGCGATCACCACCTCGGGGGGACCAGAGCTCCGCTGCTCGCGTTTGTCGTGCGTTAGGTAAGACGAACCGACGGCGGGGGAGGGAGTCGGTAGCAAAGTGCGAGGGGGGG